CTGACATCCCCACCAGCAGCGTCTGCGGCTTCCAGCTGCTCTAGCTCCTCCACCTCCTCACAGCTCCCACGTGCCTCTTCAATGCCGCCACCTCCGGGGGCATGAAGTGGGGTCTCAACGGTGGTTTGGATCTGCACTTCCCTGAGGGCTAATGATGTCGAGTCTCTTCGTGTGCTTCTTGGCCATTTATATATCTCTTTGGAGAAATGTCTGTTCGAATCCTTTGCCCAGTTTTTAATTGGGTTGTCTTTTTATTACTGAGTTATAAGGCATCTTGTCCATTTCTTACCATGGAACTGGAATCAGCCATTCCTTAAAGGAGCCCTGGTTCCCTTTGCTGGGAAATGGTGTTTAGAGACCCCACTGAGGGCCAACATTCTCATCGCTACTGCTTGGTCACACAGTTTCTCTAAGACAAAACACATCTGGAGTTTTTACTAGTCCTTCCAACTCACATTCAGGCCTGCTGGGGTTTTCACTTAACCTCCTTAAACCTGTCTTTTTTTTTTTTTTTTTTTGAAGATTTTATTTATTTATTTGACAGAGAGAGAGAAAGAGAGCACAAGCAGGGGGAACAGTAGAGGGAGAGGCAGGCTCCCCGCCAAGCAGGGAGCCTGATGCAGGGCTCGATCCCAGGACCCTGGGATCATGACCTGAGCCGAAGGCAGACGCTTAACCATCTGAGCCACTCAGGTGCCCCTCATCAAACCTGTGTCTTATTTTTTTTTCCTCCCACACTGAATTTGAGGTCCCCTCTGGCTGCCTTGTCCTTAGACCATTGGAGGCATGCCAGCCAGGGCCTCGTGGCTGGACCGAAACCCCGAGAGCTGACTTCAGGAGTCACTCGCCACCTTGCCTGTGGAGCACTGCCTGTTCCTAACTGCGGGAGGAGGAGGACACTTCCTCTGCTCTCTTGCTGCCTCACGCCCCTCACACTTTGGATGTGGGTGGGAAGGTCCCTTTCTGTCACCATAAAAAAGCTGGACAGCCCTGTGATTTCATTCTGCTGCTTCAGTACAGGGAAGTCCCCCCTGGTGGCCTCATTCAGTGTACTTAGTGAAGGACTTGTCTTCGAGCATGCTCATCGGTAGAGGGGCCGTGTCATGGCCCGAACCCAGAATTCTCGCAGGGCCGGAGAGTGACGGAGGATAGACAGCGAGGAGACGGGATGAGGTGGGGGCCGGCGCGGCAGGGCCTCAGTTGTGGGATGGTGCGCACTTCGGTTACAGCGTGTGGGAACCTGGAGGACGTCGGCCATGGTGTGGTGTCCTTGTGGCGGGGGCAGCATGGCAGTGAGTCTTACGATGTGAGTGCCCGAGGGCACATCTCGTAAGGAGCCCTTTCTCGTGCCACCCGTGTCTTCCCTGCCAGACAGGAGCTCTGTCTTAGTGCCAAGGAGAAGCCGGGAGCAGATGGGACGGTTCCTCTCTTACTTGAGCACCACAGCTCATACTTTGACTTGATGAAGGTCATTTAAGATGGAAACATCCCTGTGATCATTTGCAGTGTGAATAAAATGAGCACCGAAATAAGTATGATGCACTTAGAAAGATACCTTTCCAAATACCGTTTGGCCTTTGAAACTGCTTTTCAGTGACCTGGCAGCTGTCTGGCTTATGGCTGCCGGCGTGGACACAGGTGCCGCCTTGCCCAGTCCTCTCCAAACCTGTGCCTCACGAGGACTGCAGAGGCTGACGTGCCTGTCAGCAGGAGGAGCTGGGCCCCTGCCGAGTTGCGGATGGTCAGCTTTGAATGGGATGCGGTCGTTGGCGTAAGAGCCAGGTATGTGCACCTTCTTAGGGCTCTCTTCCGTCTCGCCGTTCGGCCTGGAAGGCCGCTGGGGGCAGGAAGCTGCCTGCCCCTTTTACACGCCCTGCAGGCCAAGGCCAGCATGCCGGTGCGAGGGGGTTACTGTGATCGTGTCGTCGTCGGAATTCGGGCGCACGCCTGCACACATGTGCCTGTCATCCCGCGACTCTTGGGCCATCGCTCACTAGTTGAGTTCACACAGCTGCCTCTCCAGAAAGCTGACATTCTAATTATAATTGCTCGTGAATCAGTGAAGAATTAGTGGAATTTTTTTCGTACGTCAGCAGATGCAAGTATGCAGACTTCTCTCTGTTCTTTGGCCCTGCTTGTAGAGAAGAGGGAGCATGGATGCGCGCCTTCCAGGACACTCTGGTCTGGCCCTCTGACCCCTCTGCTTCTGTAATGCTCTTCCGTGCAGCCTGCCGACAAGCTGCCTCTCCCACCCTCCCACTGCCTGCTGTCTCTGCTCAGCACTTTGTCTCCCGTCTTTCTGTCTTAGCGTATCCGTAATCACCAGCTAGGTAGCTAGTCTTTAACTTTCCATGAGATCCCATTTAACTTCTAAATTGTGGTAACAGGAACATATGAACATTCTCCTTTCTTCTTCTAGTACTTGACCCTTAGAGATCTTACTTCTCTCTGTTTCTCCAAGAAAGGCATCAGCTGTCACAGGGTGGGGAGGGTGGCGCTGATTCCGGCTTACTGTGTATGCCTTTGGTTGTATTTTCTTTTTTAATTAGCATTTCAGAAGTAATACGTGTTCACTGTAGAACATTCACAAGAGGGGCGCCTGGGTGGCTCAGTCGTTAAGCGTCTGCCTTCGGCTCGGGTCATGATCCCAGGGTCCTGGGATCGAGCCCTGCGTCGGGCTCCCTGCTCCGCAGGAAGCCGCCTTCTCCCTCTCCCACTCCCCCTGCTTGTGTTTCCTCTCTCGCTGTGTCTCTCTCTGTCAAATAAAAATCTTTAAAAAAAAAAAAAACTCAAGAAAATAAGGGGTGTTTTATAGCCATACTTTTTTTCTAGGCATGTATTCTTGGTTCCATTTTATTTCCAGAACATACTACACACACACAAACACACACACACACACACACGCACACATGCCGTCTACCACCTGGGGCTATTTTTCTGACTCACATTGTATTATGTTGTCTTTCCATGCTATCATATATTCTCATTAGTTTTTTATTGGCAATGTAATGGTCTGTTGTTTGGTTCTGTCATAATTTGCATAATCAGTTCATGGTATTAACTGTTCAATTATGGAGTATTGAGTAGTCTAATTTTATCTATTACATATAATGCCATGATGACCATCCTTTGTAGCTTATTTTTCGCATACCTCTGTGACCTTTTCCCTGGACTAAATTATTATAAAAAGACAGATATTTAACTTGGACACATACTGACAGATCATCCAAAAAGGCTGTTCAAAGCATTACTCCCACCCACCGTGTCTGGAAGGTTCTATCTTATCACCATCAAAGCTGGAGAGTCTCTGATTACTGAACACTGGTGTGTACATTTGTGAGTTTCCTCTTTGGTATTAGTTTTGGTGTGGTCATCCTTTTTCTAGTTTTCGTGTTTCTGAAAGAATCCTTTCTCTAGGGATAACTCCGTTGATACTCTCTACGTTGTGATTCCCGTGTGTGGCATTTTGACTTTGGAGAGGCTTTGCATTCTGATTTAGGGACATGTTGCTATTGCTCATTTATGCCCATTGCTGCCTCCTCTGTAACTTTAGAAATAGTCTTGCTGGCAGCTGAAACCACCCTCCTCCCCTACACAAGTAGGTCCTATCCAGATGCCCATCAACAGATAAGAGAAGGGATAAAGAAATGGAGGTTTGTCCATGTGTTGGAATACAGCTCAGCAATGAAAAGGAGCAAACTACTCGTGCACACAAAAACATGGATTGTCATACTGAGCAAAAGAAGATGAACAGAATGGTGACAGAGAGTAGGGCTGTGGAGGCTGGGGGAAGTGAGAGGGACTGGTAACGGGGCTGGTTCCGTTTGTAGGAGATGCAAAGTTGTAAAAGCAGCTGTGCTGGTGTGGCTCAACTCTTGAGCAGACAAAAGCCGTGGGGCTGGGCGCCTGGGTGGCTCAGTCGTTAAGCGTCTGCCTTTGGCTCAGGTCATGATCCCAGGGTCCTGGGATCGAGTCCCACATCGGGCTCCCTGCTCGGCGGGAAGCCTGCTTCTCCCTCTCCCACGCTCCCTGCTTGTGTTCCCTCTCTCGCTGTCTCTCTCTATGTTAAAAAATAAATAAAAAATATTAAAAAAAAAAAAAAAGCCGTGGGGCTGTCCACAGTCAGTGGTTGGATTTTGTGGCATGGGAAGTAGCTGTCCATAACGCTATTCAGAGAACGATGAGTGCAGAAGAGTGCATACTGCAGTGGTCCCATTTATATCGAGTTCTAGGCAAAAGTCATCTAAGAAATAGAAGTGAAACAATACTGGGGTGGGCAGATGGACCAGAGAGCGATGGAAATGTTCAGTATTTTTTGAGTGGTGCGTACACGGGGATTTGTGATCATCAGAACCCATCAAACTGGGGGGAAATACATTCTAATTGGGGGGGGAAGAGTAGGTCCTAATCTTTTTTCTTTTTTTCTATATAAAAAAAATATTTTCATAAGTCATGTCTCTGCTGAGTGATATGCCGTTAACTTTCTGTCTGTTGACAAAGATGCCAGCCAGTCATATACCAGCTGCCGCCACGCCCAGCGCCCGCTCACTGAGAAACCACCTTCCCCACGCCAGAGGTTTGCTCGTTAGCATAGGCAGCGTCCTGCACATTATAGAACGCAGTGGTTTTTAGGAACTAAAGAGGAGTTCTCCCCCCCGCCCCCAAACTGGGAATCGGTTCCACGGGAATTTAATTTGTATATTGAACTTAGTCATTTTGAGACTGTGGGGTTCGTCATTTCCCCTTCTAAGAGGAAGTGCCATTATGCATTTGAAACTTCTCAATGTGCTATGAAGGTATCTTTGGAGGGTAGGGGACATTTTGAGAAGTCGTGCAGCTCATCTAAGTCAAATAATACTTGCATTTCTCGTGTGCGGAAAATGTGTAGGCACAAAAAGAGATGAGGTGGTGGGGAGAAACAAGTGACCTACCTTGCGGTGAAAACCAAGCAGCGAGGAGCTTTCTTAGCACCTCTGACTTCTCTCTTGTGTGGGGTCTAGGAGCTGGTCAGGCTAACCATCGAGAAGCAGGGGCATCCGTCTCCAACCAGCCCAGTGAAACCCAGTTCCCCAGCCTGCAAACCCGACGGGTGAGTTCTGACTAAACCCTCCAGTCATTGGAGAGAGAATGGAAGCCAAGCAGGGAGGCTGTTTAAGGCCTGCATTCCTTTCTCAGTGACCTCTGGGCGAGTACCTGTATTACTTTAAAGTGTGTATAGCTCACCCACGTTTTGAAGTGTTGCCTGATCTCAAGGTTAACAGTCAGTGTGACTCTCAGGATACCATGTGAGCGTTCACGTGACCCACACCTGTGCTTCTCCAGAGCAACTTCCTTTCATCATTAGAAAGAACTTTGAAGGGTTGGGTTTGGGGGATTTGGCTTGAAAACTTTGAGCTTTATCAAGAAAGTAAAGTGAGGGCAATGTGGACAGTTCTAAGGCCTTGCAACAAGTTCTACTGCAAGTCCTTAGACAAAATATAAAACATAAATTTGGAGCATTTAGAGAGCCTTTAGATCATGTAGTCTGAAGTTTCCTCTTATAGACAAGGAAACTGAGATGCAGTCAGGGGGACTTGGCCAGGCTCCTGCTGTGTGTTGGTGATCAATCCAGACTCGAAACCCCATCCCTGCCGTGGAGCTCCAGGCATAGTGTCCAGGGCTCCTGCTTCTCAGCCTGGTGCCCCCCATCATTCCCATGCCCTGGTGCCCTTCTGCGCCTCCCAGGACCTATGTGTGCTCTGTAACCTTCTGTAATCCCAAGTTCTTCTCATTCTCCAGCCAGTCTGAGCTCCCCCTGACAGATCGAGAGATGGAGATTCTAAACAAGACAACTGGCCTGTCCCAGTCAGCCGAGCTTCTCCCAGACTCTACAGATGAGGAGGTCGCACCCCCCAAGCCCCCCTTACCTGGCATCCGGGTGGTTGATAACAGGTAATTTTTATTTTTCTAGCACCCCCTTCTACTTAAGATATAATCTGATGAAAGGATGGTAGATGAACGAAAGTGAAGATGGTGCCATTAGGGTAAGAACTTCGAACCCAGCCCCTCGCTCTTTGGAAGGCTTTGCAATCTTGATCTTCCTTGGGAAGGGCGTCTGTGGAGGACGTGAGCCCGGCCCCAGTAACTTCCCTTGCCACACGCTCCAAGAACTCCCAGTGGAGAGCCTTTTAGGCTCAGTACAATTTATGATGGAAGGAAAAGAAAGGATTTTTCTGATTTTTGGTTTTTTGGCATTGGTAGGTTTTATTTTGGCAGCGGTGGAGTGGGACAGGAGTTGAAAGTGTGAAAAGTAGGTGTAAAGTGTCTGATAATGAAAGAATCCCACATTCTACACCCTAATACCTTTTTAAAAAGCTTTTGTTTGGGTCATTCGGTTTGATAGGATTTCTTGATCTGTTTCAGCCCTCCACCAGCATTGCCACCGAAGAAAAGACAGTCAGCTCCATCCCCGACCCGAGTGGCTGTCGTTGCCCCCATGAGTCGAGCCACCAGTGGCTCCAGTTTGCCCGTTGGAATTAATAGGCAGGTAATGTAGCCCCATCTGGCAAGGCCAGAGGAAGGCTTTGGGTTTGGGAACTTTAATCGTGAAGCTAAAAGAAACCCAGTGGTCTTCAGCCCCTGGCAATGCGAGGATCGTTCCTTCCCTGGACAGGACTACAGGACCTGGTGGAAGCTCCCGCGTGGGGGAGGGGGCGGGGGTGGAGAGGCTGGAGCTGAGGAGTGTCTCCCGAGGACATCTGAGCCTGGCCCCAGGGCCCTCGCTTTTCACAGTCCCAGCACTGGGAAAGGCTTCTTTCTCGGAAGTCACAGACTTGGCTTTTTATTGCTTACATCAAAGATGGGCCTTTCCAACCAGTTTCTGAGCTTGGCAGTCTCCTCTGAGTCAGTGCACTGATCCCTCTCCCCTGGGCTCTGCCACCGTTTCTCAGAAGTGACTGGGGCTTGTTTTTATTTTTCCACCCGAGGACTTTGACGTGGACTGTTACACACAAAGGCGACTCTCAGGAGGCAGCCACTCGTACGGCGGAGAGTCGCCCCGCCTCTCCCCCTGCAGCAGCATAGGCAAGCTCAGCAAGTCAGACGAGCAGCTGTCCTCTCTGGACAGGGACAGCGGCCAGTGCTCCCGGAACACAAGCTGTGAAACACTAGGTGAGCACCAGGCATCTTGGTCACACCTCCTGTCTCATCATTTCTTGGTGGCTGCTTTGGGGTCACACGGAGGCCAGTCACTGGTCATACGGCCCTGGCCAAGTCATTCAGAGTCTGTTTTGTCATCTGTAGAGTGAGGGGACTAATATCCACCTCTCTCAAGGAGGTCGGAAGTTTGAGTGAAATAACCATGTGCATCCACATAGGAGATGCTCAGATGGTAGCCATTGTTACGGTTAATCTGTCAGTTTGCAGTTTGACTCCCTTTGCCAACATGAAGAGCCATCTGTGCTCGGAGCTGTAGGTGAAGGAGAGAGCCCCTGACGGAGGGTGAAGGCAAGCGAGCAGCGTGTGCTGACCTCCTGGTTGGCGCGGGATGCGTGCCATGGGGGCCGGAGGGAAGTCTGAAAGGCAGCTTGGCAGGAAGTCTCAAGAGCATTAAGCTGTTCCTGTCCCGGGAGCTAGACATTCCACTTCGAGACTTTATCTTAATCAGAGATTTATAGCAGGATTTCTGTACAAGGACGTTAATCTCAGCATCATTGGGAGTCGTGGTAAAACTGGAGACTCAGTGGTAGGAAATCTGAGGAGTTGTACATCCGCTTGGTGGAATAACATCAGTCACGATACATTGATCAATGGACAAAATCCAAGACCACTGACATAGTATTTTTCTCAGTTGGGTTTTTAAAAAAAAAAAGAATCCTAAGGGAAAAAAAGACTTTTATGGAAATACATTAAAATGTAAACAGATTATAGTTAAATTATGGGATTGTGGATGATTTTTATTTTCTTGATTTTTTTTTTTTTTTTGGCCACATTTTCTACAGTGGTCACGGATTTTTCTTTTTTTAAAAATAAATTCAAAAAATACAGGAAGATACAAAGAACAGGGTAGCAAACAGCCCTTTTCCCACTTACGTTTGCGTTTTCAAGCAGGGAGAAGAATGAGGAATATAAAATACAGCATAGAGATGAGACAGGAATCACGTTTGTGTCACACACGAATGAATGGGATTAGGTAGGATCGCTGCTTTCTGCGGGGCCTTGTGGCTAACGGGTCATGTTTTTCCTGTCGTGAATGCAGATCACTATGATCCTGACTACGAATTCCTTCAGCAAGACCTCTCTAACACAGACCAGATACCTCAGCCAGTGGCCTGTCACCTCAGCCCGTTGCCGGAGTCCTTGGGAGAGTCTGGGTCTCCGTTTCTCGGCTGCCCTTTCCAGTTGCCTCCAGCACCCAGCAGCTGTCCCCAGCCAGATGGGCCGTCGGCCCCAGGACAGCAGGTGGACATGCCCCCTGCTCTCCCCGAGAAGAAGCGCAGGAGTGCAGCCTCCCAGACCACGGACAGCTTGGGCTGCAGGGTGTCCTACGGGCGGCACCCCTCCCAGTACGACAACATCTCCGAGGATGACCCGCAGAACCCAGCCTCGGGCCCGTCCGTCCCCTTCACGCCCTTTGCTGCTATTCTCCCCTTTCAGCAAGGAGGGTCCTCAGCCTCTGTCGAATTTGTGGGTGATTTCGCTGTTTCTGAATCAACGGGTGACCCGGAAAAACCGCCTCCTCTACCAGAGAAGAAAAACAAACACAGTAAGCTTTTGTCGAGCTGTTGTCAGGAAGCACGTTCTGTAATCTAACATGGGGGTGCGTTTTATCTGAGCATCTAAGCATTGGGCCGGAGTGGCACCAGTGGCCTCGTAATTTCATAAAAGGTGGGGCCCGCGGTACGTGGACACTTCGGGGAGCCTTGTTTTGTCGGTACTGGTGAGGGTTTGTAGAGCTTGATAAGCCGACCTGTCCTTGCGGCCTCTCTCAGCTCTCAGGCCAGGCCCCTGCAGAGCCCGAGTGTTTGGCCCGAACACCCAGCAACAAAGAGAAGTGAGTGTCACAGCTTCAGGACAGCATTACAGAGCGACATCTGGGTAAAGTGGGATGGACGTTTGAATTCAGTTAGAACTCACTGCATCCACAGAGGGGTTTTCTGAGGATCCCTGAGAGCGTGCAGGGTTGCTGTTTAGAGAGGTCCCTGGTACCCCTCGTCTTCTGTTTGCGGACATGAACTGTCACGGAATGACTTAGAACCTGAGCTTGCCTGGTTGGAGCTGCCGAGGATATTTCTTAGACCACATATTTTTAATACAGGATGTTATTAGGGTCCAGGGGTGGTGCTGAAATTTTAGATATTTGTAGTTGGAGTATTTCCAGACTGTCACTTTGCCATCAGATTCCTAGGTAGAGAGTCCTGCTAGAGATGGTTTTTCTGCTGGCTCCCCTCACGGCTCCCCATCTCAGGCTTTCTCTGCCGCGCCCCCTCCCCCAGTCCACTAGCGCACTTCTGCTCCATCTGTCTTTGGTGGACTGGCCATCACTATTTGGGTATGTGTGTGGTCACCTGGGCCACACAGCCCCAGGGCTCCCTGGCCTCGGTTGCAGCATCCAGCAGAGAACTTCCACCAACTAGGAATTGACTCTCCATTCCAATTTCCCAAATGAGAGCATCTGATTGGCCCCAGCTAGCCTGGGGCCCACCCTCAAAGAAGGGGAGAGTGGTTAAATGCAGCAAGGGTGGCCCCAAGGGCAACTGGGTGGGCCTTGTCCCCCAGCTTCTTGCTGGGTGTCGCCCAGGCTGCATCCTAGCCTAGGGTGGTCTCATCCCCCAGCTGGAGGGAGAGCTGGTTCTGGAGGGCTGATGAGGTCATCCCCATCTGTCGTTCACTCGTGAGAAGCAGGGCGCTACTAGAGGGGATTGCCAACAGCAGCGCCGGGGACATTTCCCTTTGTGCCTCTCCCTCTGCACCAGCAAGTGTCTAGGGAGCTGTTGGCCTTCCCTCTCCACCCACCTTACCTTGACTTGAGCAGTGTGCCGCTCTGGGCTCACACCCTTTCCTCTCTTTTCCTTTCCTTGGAATTCTCTGAACCCAGAACACAGGGTAGGGTTGCATCCGTGCAAACCACAACAGATGTGTGGTGTTGCCTGGCCATGGAGCTGGGGGCCTCACCTCTGCTTTTTAGAGCAGGGGCGGGCCATGGCCCTTATATGGAGCTGCAGAGAGGAGGAGGAAGGGAGGCATCCGCTGTCCCTTTCCAATAGCCTCAAGTCTCCAGTGGCTAAAAATATTTTCTATTTGCAGACATCTAGTTTTAGGCTTTATCTTTTCCATCAGTGTCTGTAGCACTTGTGTCTGCAAACCTTGAAAAATGACTAAGAACTTAAGGTGTGGCATGCCCTGGGCTAAAGCTTCACACGCCATCATATTTAGTCTTTACGTTCTGGCCCCAGGCAGTGATATTAGCACGGTTTATAGAAGAAGGAACCGGAGTGCGAAGGAACTGAGCCTTGCCAGGATCAGCTGGCAAGTGGGTGGCAGATCGGGGCTTTGGAGCGGGCCTGTGTTTTCCCAGCGCGCTAAGGAGGAAGGGATCTGGCCCTCCTTTGTGGACACTGTATGGGTTTCAGTAGTCCCCGCCAGGCAGCAGGGAGTCTTTTTTTTATGCCCCATGAAAGGACCCCTGAACTTGAGGCCTGGTCCTAGTCTCCAGGCCGCTCTTCACTCCTCAAGGGGACCCTTGGGGAGTTCCAGTCTTTGACCTGGTGGAAAACTTGCAAAGTGGCTTCGCGAGAAAGGAGGGAGATAATCATCATCCCTTATATTTGGATAACGCTGGACAAAGCTCAGATGTACACAGTCCTGCTATCATAGAGTGTCCTTCTCCTTTGGGTTGCGCTGATGTCTTGAGTCTCGAGGGTCGTCGGCCCGCCTTGCTGAGGGCAGCCCTCCAAGCCCCTTGTGCCCAACAAGCTTCCTAATCACTGCCCGCGGTCCTGGGTGCCTGCTGGAGCGCCGCCTGCCGAGATTCCCGGTGATGCTGGCCGCTCCCTTCTCTGAGCTCCTGTGCTGGGCTGCCTTTGAAACGGACCCGGTCTTCCTTATTTCTGGAAGGTCCTGAGCCTCACTACTGTCTCTGTGCTTGGTGAGCAGGTCTCTGCAAGGACTTCAACAGCTGGAAGGTCAGTTCTTACTGAAGCTTCCTGTTTGAGGCAAGCTAAAAGTGTGCTCAGTCTTTTTAGGGAGCACTTGGTAGGCATTTGGGATCCCCTTCAAAGGCTTGCCCCTTCCTCTATAACCTCGTGGTGGTGGTGGTGCAGCGTGGAAGAACAGCGTCGTGGGGCTCGAGGGGGTTGGTGGGCTGCACTTGCCTTCTGGCAGCAGAGCCCTCGTGGGCAAGACTGCCTTTACCTACCCGCCTTTTATGGCCAAGCCCTGCTCAGTGTTTGCTGGGGTGAAGACGTTCTTATTGATTCTTTTAAATAAAGGAGATGACTTTGAACCCCCTCCTTCGGTGGAGGGCACCAGAAAGACAGCCCTAGAGAAAGGCATTGTTTATCTACCTTGACCCCAGTTGAGGGTCTCCAGTTAAGCCCCCAACTTTGAGGCTATGTGAAAATACAGAATGAAGCCCTGCAAAATTGTCCTGGCCACTTTTGCTTGGTATCTAGCAGGTGCTCCAGGAGGACAGCACCCAACTCTGGATGGTACCTCTGTACGGACCTCTGCTGCACACGTACCTAAGTTCCTTTGCTCCCAAACCTGGGAGGGAGCTAGCTAGTAAGAAAAAGCGGCCCAGGTTTGGACTGCATTTCAGGCCAGCCTTGACCTAGACTTTGCTGTGGGGAGTGTCCAATGTGGGTTCCAGTCCCACAGAGAGACGGGGATTGGAGAAGGGCCTACTCCCACCCAGCCTCCCAGCTTCGTAAAGGTGCCAGAGGGCCGGACAGTCGGCTCCAAGCTGTCACTTGCCCCGAACCTGTGGAGTCGTCAGAAGGGCCTGGCTCTGGAGTCAGGGCTCCAGTTGCTAACCCAGTTGGGAGTAAGGCGCAGGGGCTGAGGGCTCCACGCCTGCTTCAGGAAAGGGTGCCTGTGAGGATGGATGCCTGAGGTGTTGCGCCTCCCCAGGTGGGCGAGGCCCCTGTTGGCTGCGAGGGCTCACGGCTCAGGCAGGGAGCCTGCCACTGGGCGGCCTCGAAGCTACAGGCAGGGCCACCCAGAGGGAGCAGCGTGGCGTCAGGTGGCAGGGTGGCAGGGGCCAGGCTTTCTGAAAGAGATAGAGGGAGGAGAGGGCGCACGTGTTTGAATTCAAGCGTGTCTTTCCTCACCGTCTGTCCCTCCCCCGAGGTTGTAGCCTCTCAGCTGGAAGGGGAGAGTGGAGCTTAGTGGCTGTTACTTCTTGTTTACCCGGTGGGTGCTTTACAAGACCCACCCAGGGCCATCGCCTGGCTTAGCAAGTCACTTGGTCGGGATAGATGATGTGTGTTTCATTCACTCATTCGTTCTGCAAATATCGGTGGACACCTGCTGTGTGTCAGGCACTGATGGTGCAGCAGCAGACATGGTCCCTGTCCCCTGGGAGCTTCAACTCTCCAGCGACAAGCAGTAAATCCTGTTGCATCAGCTTTGAAAATATATCCTGAATCAGATCAACCTCACCACCTCCACCCACACCACAATCTGCCACCTAAACAACCGCGGCGGCCCCAGAGTTGTTTTCTCGAGACAAACAGCTCCAGGCAGGCCCAGAGGGGAACCCTTCGTGGGGTCCCCCCGGCATGGCAGCGGGCCGGCCTCCTTGCCCCGTTCCCACAGCCTCTCATGACCTCCCAAATGATTGCCTCGCTCCTTCCAGCCTCCCCTTGCTGGCTGTGCTCTGCTCACCAGACCCCTGGCCCGGCCTTAGCCTTTGCCCAGCCCGTAGCCTCGGTGTGGAAGGCGTCATGTAGCTTATCCATATTCTGGAGAAGCCCCCACCACCAGCCCGCTTCACTCTCTCACCCCAGCATTCACACCTGGTCTGTTTTCTGTCTCCTGGGAGGGTGTGAGCCTCACGTGGCCAGAAGACTTGCTTGCTGGCCCCTGAGCTGGTGCCCAACACATAGGTGCTCAGTAAAATCACATACGTGGGACAGTGCCACAGGTGGCTCCTGCTGTGGGAAGAGCTAAGAGGACGCCGTGAAGGGACAAGGAGGGGCTGCTGGGCGGACGGCTCCTGCCGAGCCACAGGCAGGGGAGAGCCTGCTCAGCAGGACTCGGGGGAACAGCGGGTGCACACTTCCCTGAGTGCTCCAGAGAACGGAGGAAGACCACGCGCCTGGGGTCAGAGGCGTGGGAAGTGGCACCTAGTGTCCGCCGCGGCCACGGGGTGCCAGGAAACCCCCAGGGCTTTTCAGCAGAGGGGGGGTGGGCGCCCCCCATATGCTTTTTCTAAAAAGAGACTATTTTTTAGAGTGGTTAAAGACTGTTTTTTTAGAGTGGTTTTAGGTTTACGGCAACACTGAGCGGAAAGTACAGGGAGTTCCCGCAGGTCCCGGCCTCCCCCACTGTCACCTCTCCGCCAGAGTGCTATGTGTCAGTCACCCAGCCTGCACGGGCGTGTCCCTGCCGGCCAGAGCCACAGCCTTCGTAGGGCTCACCCTTGCTATGTGTCCATAGGTTTTGGCCTGTGGGCAACATGGTGGCGTCCGTGGTGTGGCGTCGGCAGGGGTCTCTGTGGGCCTGGGCCTGGCCGTGCCAGGGGAGCAGGGCGGGGCCCGCTCGGTGGCAGGGGGGGTAGCCGTGGGCCACGCAGCCCCAGCTGCCCCCCAGTAACACCGGCCCCCCCCCCACCCCGTCTGCCCCACAGTGCTAGCCTACATGCAGCTGCTGGAGGACTACTCAGAACCACAGCCGTCCATGTTCTACCAGACGCCGCAGAGCGAGCACATCTACCAGCAGAAGAACAAGCTGCTCATGGAGGTGTACGGCTTCAATGACTCGTTCAGCACCGAGGCCTCGCAGGACCTGGCGCCGCCCCCCGCCCTGCCCCCCAAGCAGCGGCAGCTGGTAAGCCGCACCCCTGCCCCGCCGCCGCGACCCTCTGTTGCCAGGGACCACGCGGCTTCCCACATGGGTGCTCCCACTTCCTCCCGACAGGCTCCCCCGCCTCCCCGCCCTGGGGGTGGCGGCGCCTTTCTCTTCCAGAGCAGCCCCACGCAGCTGGGCCTGGCTTGTACTCAGAATGTCTGCTCTCTCTGCTGACAGTCTCTTGTATTTTTCCTCTCTTCTTGGGCTCCAATATAGACCTCCCAGAAAGGAGGGACTCAATCAAGGCACAGGGCCTGGTCTGTGTACCGCCATCTGTGAACTTGATTTACATAATGGCCCAACTACACAGAGTGGCTGACACCCCACCCTGGCCAGCGATGGCCCCGTGGAAACAAGCTCTATTGAAGCACGATGGCCTTACACAGAGCCGTCTGTGTTCCCAGCATGGCACCCTACCTCCTCTGAAAAGCCTCCCGTGTGAGGAGTCCCTGTAGGTAATGAAGCCCAAGTCAGCACAGAAGACAGGCTGTCCTGCGTGGGACCAGGCGGGTGGGCAGGTCGGGTGTGTCTGCTGCGCACCTGAACCCTGTTCCTGCGGCTCCCAGTCTACCAGCCAAGTGGACCGTGGTCGGGTGGTGGAGTCCAAGCATCTCGCCGGGAAGAGTGCACCTCAGAAAGGGATTCTTGGCCTGTTCAGAGCTGCATGTGCTGTTTTGCTCATAGGCTGACCAGCTTGGTAGTGTTTTCACCGCAGAGGGGCCCAGCCATCTTCTGTCCTTCGTGAGAGGACGTGAAGGTGCTGGCCTGCCTCTTCTGGGAGGCAGCTGCCAACTGGACAGCCAAGACCCCGGGTTACTCCTCGAGTGTCTGCCCTGCCCCAGGGGCCCCTGAGCCTTCCTGCCTTCGGGAAGCTCAGGGGCTGACCAGGCAGAGCCCAGGACTAGCTGTGTCTCACGACTCAGGCCCTCAGTTCTTCACCCACCCTGCCCACCCCCAGGAACCCCTGAATATGCCCCAGTATGAATCTAAATGGCTCTGAAAATGTTTCAGAAAGGGATCTTTAGCATGGAAATAGAAATGCCTGCCCCAGGGAGCCCTGACCTAAAATGTTTGGTTCAGCGGCTGAACTGGATTTCGTTGAGATCTGAAACAGTCTCAGCCCCTCCTGCCAGTGTCCACAGGTGCCCATCGGTCATCCTTGCGCACCTTCTCTGCACCATGGAGCCCACAGGCTTCACACAGGTCCCTAGGGAGCGCTCTCGGACTCGGAGCCTGTGTGAGAGAGCCCACCGAGCACTCCGCATGCCAGCCGGGCAGTAGCGAGGGGCCCAGGAGCGATGCAGACACCCTGCTGAGCCCTGCAGCTTGGTTTGGCTTCACGTGATCCTCCCCACAGCCTCTGTCACCCCCATGTTAAGTCAACTGAGGCTGAGGAAGCCAGAGAGACTTCACTGGAGCCCACGCAGCGCTGGAAGTAGAAGATGGGGGACCAAGCCCAACTCTGGCTGAAGCCCGGCACGGCTCGTGACATGCCCTGTGCCTGCTGCGTGGCTGCCCTCTCTCAGACGCAGCAGGAAGGCTTATACTCCATTTTCCCAGCAAAAATGGTAGTCATAATTGTGTTGGCCCCTGTACAGTGTGGCAGGCACAGTTCTGAGTGTTCTATGCACAGACGGTCCTAGACAGGTGTCCCCATTTTACAAATCAAGAACCTAAGCCGCGGGGACCTTTAAATAATGCCCGAAGCCAAACAAGTCCCAGATGGTGAGGCCCAGGTTCAAGACCAGGCGGCCTGGCTCCAGGAGCACACTCTGCAGAAGCATGGATAAGTGCAGGCTCTGCTCCCCAGGGGAGGAATGTGAGGCCCTAGGTCAGTGCAGGCCAGGCCCGCGGGGCTCCGAGCCCGCTTGGCCTCCTTCCACCTTGCCGCCACTTCCAGTGGCCACAACTTGTGTGAAAGTTAGCTTTTTAAATCCCTCACAAGGAGGTGAAGGAGGGCACTCTCTTGTCCAGGTGGACTCTGGCAGGCGTCTGTGATTCCTCAGCCGAGCCAAGAAGCCATCCCTCTCCAGAATGTCCAAGCAGAACTAGGTGGCAGCCTACGGAGCCTTCATGTGTACCTGCCTGACTGTTCTCTGCTTTTCTCCCTCCTTCCCTGTCCTCTCTCGTCCCTTCTGTCCAGCAGGCCTCCTATGCTGCTGCTTCCTTCTCCTCTGTCTCCTACTGTGTCCAGCAAACTAAAGTGGCCTTCACCCCCGAGGACGGCAGTGCCACTCAGGGCATCAGTGTGTCCGTCTCTAACCCCTTTCTCAGCCGGCACGGCAACTTGCCAGTGCCCTCGGTGAGTCGCTGCCTGCTGCTCTTTGCTTGGAAACGTGAGTGCGAGCTTTCATTTGTCGCCTGTGCCTCCCGACCTGTGTGCTGCTGCCCAGCCCTGACTCTGTCCTCTTGTAGACCCTGCCCTAGACGGGAAGGGGCATGCATGGTTGGTTCTCCATGGCCCGAGGACTACGTGAAGGGGCGGGGTGGGTGGGGTGGCGGTGGGCACCGGGAAATGTTAGTGGCCACGCTCTCGGCATCACCACTCAGGAGTAAACTGGCAGAAGTGTTTTGACCTTTTTATTCTGGTCTCCCATTTGGCCGTGGGTCAGCCCTGTAAGTGTTCTGTATTTAAAAAGAAGTCTTCCTCCCATAGGAAGCAAGGCCAGGGAGAGCAGGCTTTACCAGGACATGACAGAGTCCAAGTCTGAGGGCCTTGTCGGCTAACTTCTGCTGTGTAGCAAACCACTCCAAAACTCAGTGCCTTAAAACAACAGTAACCCTTTGTCATTGCTTCGGACATGGGTTGGCAGGGTGACGGCCCATCTGATTGTGGCTGGCCTCACCAACATCTCTGGAACCTCGGCTGGGACAGCGGCCTGCTGTGGCAGTGCTATTGCTGACCCCCCCAGCCTCCGTGAGGCCAGCCCGGGCTTGCTCCCACGGCAGCCAGCGGGGTGCCTGGGGAACTGATGGGAGCAGGCAAGGTATCTTCAGGCCTAGGCTCAGAACCGGCTCACTGTCTGTCACTTCCTGGCATTCTCTCCGTCGAGCCACGAGGCCAGCCTGGGATTCCAGGAGGAGGGAGCTGGACTCCGCCCCTTGCGGGGGCTGCTGCCCGATCACCTTGCCGAGGGACGTGGCCGTGGGAAGGGAATGAGTGCAGCCAATTTTGTAAATAGTTTACTTCTGAAACTTGGGGGACACTGACACTTTGGGAGGCACAGTACTGGTCTGTTATCTTTTGCTGAAATCTGCATCTGCCCGGGAACCTAGAGGGCTACCGTTCTTCCTTTAATCTGTTAAGATGAGACTGAGCAGCAGGGGAAGAGCTTGGATGGGGCCATGTTTGGGTTCTGCTTAAAATCAGTTTTGCCTTTAGGGAGTTTATTTATCCCTCCTGGTCTCCTCTTCTTTCCTTCGAGATTACGCTTGCCTCTTATTTTGTGGTTGTGAGGATTAAGTAAAATCAGGTAGGGAAGTTGATTATTGCAGCTCTTGGTCTCAGAGTCCGCGGTTCTAGGCTCGGCTCCGTCCTCATTCTGCACGTGACAGCTTGGACAAATGGCTTCACCTACCTGGACTTCCTTTTCCCTCTATGACCTCGTGACTGGTTGACCAGGTGACTCGCAGAGACCTAGCCAAGCTCAGGCTCCCTGTGTGGTCTTGTCTGGTTTCTGTCTTTGAGAATCATCCGTCCGGGGCCCAGGTTGAGACGGTCCTGCCTGCTGTGAGGAATGCACTGTTCCTGTGGGTGCTAGGGCCGAACTTTTTAGAGCCCTCAGCAACCCTGTGCTTGCCGTAGAAAGGCTAAACACCCCTCCCTCCCCACTCCCGGCCCTGCCCTGGCACACAGACACCCTCTGTATCCTCAGCAGGCACTTCTGGCAAGCTCCTTTCACAAATCGTGCAAAACTTGGCCTTTACATAATCCAGCTCTTGACTGTTTTTTCTCCTCTATGAACAGAAAGTAAGTGTGAGTTATCCTAAGAAAGCATCTACAGTGTGCCTTTTGAACAGTTTGGGGTTAAAGGGCTTGTCAGTGAGCAGAACTGTTTGCTACAGAGTTGATGAAAGTTTGAGGGCATTTCAATGAAGTTTGGGCATGAGTGTGTCATGGTTTTTATCCCTTGGGACACAGGGGAGTCTCAGGGCACCTTGCATTGGAAAGACCACATTCTCTGTACCAACGCCAAGGTACAGAGTCCAAGGGAGTGAGCTACTAAAGGGGCTTTATTTCTTAAAAGGAAAGTCCCCCAGCCTCCAGAGATGTTAGTAATGGCCTGAATGTTTGGAACATTTGACATCTGATGTGCTGAAACCCCAGAGAAGTGGTTTAGTGCAATGCCAACATATTCTTCCTGTGTTCTCTGCTTGCATTCTGACATGAGCCCCAGATAAAGGGCTGTGGGTTGCTCTCAGAGCGGCCCTTTATTCCTGAATCTCATCATTCTGTCGTTCCTGGGCCTGTGTTATCCTTCCAACATGGAATTCTGAAGGGGTGCCCCTTAGGAATACAGCATTGGTCAAATGTGAAGACACCTCACCCTCTCAGCGACCTGTTACTTCTGACGGGGAAGAGTCTAACCGTTAAAAACCTCTTGGGGCATCTGGTGGCTCAGTCAGTTAAGTGTCCAACTCTTGATTTCAGCTTAGGTCATGATCTCAGGGTCGTGAGCTTAAGCCTCACATCGGGCTCTGTCCTGAGCGTGGGGCCTGCTTAAGAATCTCTCTCTACTCTGCCCCTCCCCCCACCCATGCACGCAGTCGCACACGTTCTCTTTCTAAAAAAGAAAACCTCTTGAGTTCGAGCAGGAAAGCTGCTTTGACCAAGCTTAATTGAAGTAGGGGCTGAAAAAGCATCTTGTTCAGTCTCCTCGGTGTTCCGGGTTGAGTATAATACAGCAAGCACAGGGAGTGTGCGGGTCACGCAGCAGGAGGCGTCCTGAGGCACGGTGTGAGTTAGGCCAGGGGAATCA